CGCTGCCGTCGCCCGCCCCCCGCCCCCCCCCCCCCCACTTTTCCCGGCCTCCCGGGGGGACTCGCGGCTTTTCGGACTTTACTTTTTGCAAAGTCCCGCTTGGCTTCTCCAGTGCTTTTCCCCAGAGCCGTAATTGCGAGAGCTCAGCCCCGGCGGGACAACCCCGTCCCACGGCTCGGCCGTGCCCTGCCGCGGCGGGGAGCTTCCTCCTCCTCCCTCCGAATATTTTATTTTTGGGGTGGGAGGGTGATTTTTCTTCTTTCTTGGCTCAGATGAAGGCTCCCTTACTGGAGAGCGAAGCCTGCACAGGACCAGGGCGCAGCGAGGGCTCCCAATCACCGTCCGGTCCTTCAGCAGACGATGCCTGAAAATGATCTTTCTGCAGACTCGGGGGGGGGGAAATCCCAGAGCTCCCCCTCCCCGGATTTTTGGTAAACGCACAAAGGTCTCCCCAGCACGTCACGCTCGAAATAGGGCCCCGGCAATTTGGGACCCTCCCGGTGCCGCGACTGTTTGCAAAACGCAAAAACCCTGGAAGCAAAATGTAAAATCCCAAGTGCCAAACGCCAAACGCAACATCCCAAATGCCCAACGCCAAATGCAAAGTCCCCCAAGTGCAACGCCCCGCTGCAAAATGCCCACTGCAACACGCCAAACGCCAGACCCGAAGTGCAACACCCCGACGCAAAATGCCGAACGCGGCACCCCACAGGCGAAATCCCAAATGCAAATTCGGACTTGCAGGGTGGTGGACCCCTGCCCGGCCTTCGCGCTCCCCTGCCCTGCCCCCCCGAGCCGCCGCTCCGAGCCCGGGTGGCGGCGGGGTGACCGAAATCCCCCGGGAGGCAGCTGCCCTGCGGCGGGGGGGGACGGGGGGTTATCTCAGGGGTTGACGCGTTGACACTTGGGTGAGAGCTCGGTAAAACCCCCAGGAAGGAGCCAGATGGAGGGCGGAGGGGGAGCTGTGAAATTTCCCACGGGGGCTCCCCCCCGTCCATCCATCCGTCCCGTCCGTCCCATCAAGGAGGAGGGCGGAGGAGGAGGAGGAGGAGGAGGAGGAGGAAGGGGAGGTAACGCGGTGGGATTCGTTGGGCCGGGCTCAGAGGGCCGGAGGAGCTCGGTGAGCCCGGGATGAGCTGAGCTGAGATGAGCCCAGCGGCCGGCGGCATGGAGGAGGCGACGGACGCCTACGCCTACGGGGACAACGAGACGGAGTGCGAGTACGCCGAGTGGGGACCCTCGCTGGCCCTGCTGCCCACCATCTACCTGCTGGTGTTCCTGCTGGGCACAGCGGGCAACGGGCTGGTCCTCTGGACCGTCTTCAAGGGCGGCCGGGA